ACTTGAGGGCAGTAACTCGCATGACATCTTTGCAGTATTGTTGGTTTTTGAAATTCTAATGCTATCTTGATATGTATAACGTTCGCAATAGCATTTTATTGTTTTGAGGGATTGTGTGGTAAATTTTTTTTTTTTTCAGTATTTAGAAGTCCAGCCAAGAATAGTACCTCAGCCCTTCAGTTTCATGTTACTTGAGACTAGCAGGAGCCAGTATTTGTGAGACTGTGACATAACAAGTTAGACACGTGTGTTGTAGCTTGGGGTGACTAAGGCAGTTATGAAGATGATCCTTGGTACATGGGCCTCTGGGGTGAAGAAGTAAACTTTGATGAGGTGGAGACATGCTTCCCTAGGAAAGTTAGGACCAAGGGAATGAACTCAGCTTCAAAGGCTGCTTGTGAAATGGTGGGATCACAAAGATTTCATAAGCGTAGACATAATTTGATCAGTACCAGGATGTCCAGTCACGGAAGTTGGACCGGCAGCAAGGCACTGAGGGATCATTATTTGAGAGCCAGTGGAAAACATCAGTGAATTTCCAAGGGAGGTGTGCCATGCTGTGTAGTTTCTTAGCCAGGAGACTGGTGGCTCAGGAGTAGAATCTCGTCCTGAGGAGAAATTCTTTGAATAGCCAGGCTCTGGCTGATCTTGGCCTGGAGTTGCAGGAAGGCAGCCTACCAGCACCAAGGAGAAAATACGGAGGCAAAAGCATAGTCTAACAGACACCTCAGTATGGGGATAGGAGGTGTAGCAGTTCGGGGTTTTACAGGCATAATGGACTCTCCTGGAGAGCGCTGAGTAATAACCCAGTGTGTGTTTATTTGCTTATTTCTCTGGATGACAGGGACCTACAGGGTTAAGGGACATGCAAGTGAGCCTTGGAGTTGGGACTTAAGTCACTGGATTTGGAATCTGAGAAAGTGACTTTATTTCAAGTTGCAGCTGCTTATGTAAGAGATGGGTCAGAGCTTATTTATTTTTCCCTATCTTAGTGATTACTGACTCAAGAATTGGATGAACTGTAAACTGGGGCATCAGTAAGTTTAACTATAAGAAACAGGAGGACTAAAGCAGGAGAAAGGAGACAATTTAAGATTTTTGCTGAGCTGATGCACAAAGATAGAAATTTTAAACTAGAATACTTATAGTTTTTTAATTTATAAAACAGAAGTACCAAATGAGGTAGTATAGTTGAATGCATGAAATAAACTCTAAATACTATGCATACATTAAAATAATTAAACTATTACCTAATATATATATATATATATATAT